TTTTTTAATTTGAAACTACGACCAATCAATGTCATGATTTTGTAGTGTTTCAAGTTGAGAATGTGTAAGTGTGATAGTAATCGAGGTTCAGGGCGCTTCCATTGTTTTTTTTCTTCCGTGGAGAATATAGACGTTCATTTGTTAGGACCTTGTCATGTCTCCTTAGATTCCTGCAATCGCAATTATGTTTTTAAATTCTCTCGTTTATTACTAGTTTTATTTTAACCCAGCCTTTTTCAAAAATATCTTTATGTTTGAGATATGTAAGCCGACGTTGACCTGTACAAACTAAAATATTTTATTAACATATTGGTAAGGTATACAGGTGAAAACTTTCTAATTATCACTCCGCCATTCAGCCAATTCACCTCTCTAGACTTTACACGCTCTACATACAAAAACAATACGAAATCAGCTTTTATACTTAATGTTACAGAGAAGAGAAAGTATCGTTTGTTATTTGGCAGCTTTGGATACAAAGACTAGCTTGTTGGACTCTTTCTTAATGTACCTTTGATAGTATTATCCACATTGATAGTAATTGGGTTGATCCAAAAGTGCATGCGGTATCAAAATATAAATGAGAAACAGTTTTTTGAGCTATAGAAAGAGCAGATACACTACACAAGTACACTAAAATTGCCGTTAATTATCAGCTTTACCTTTACATATACCTTTGTGTCCTCAAGATTATACAACTGTCAAATTTGATTTGGAGCATCGTAGCGACATCTCTTTCAAATAGTTTAAACTAATTTATCTGTTTTATCGACTGAGAGACTATAGTGCTAACTGTGCTGAACTCATTAGATTAGAAGAACAACCAATGGTATATCTTTATTTTCAAAAAGAGAAGCGATGATGTCAGTGTAACGAGACTTTGTTGGTCATGCACATCTCTTTTATGGACAAAACGGTGTTGTTTTACATAAACACCTTTTCCAGAAGTGTAAGCTGGTTTACAGTTTCAATTATATTTAACGCTTCAATGTTTTAATGCAGTGTTTTAATTAATATAAATAATAATTCAATCTTTATTATAAAAATGTTCATATGTCCACATACGCCTTAACCTTTAATTTGAAATAAGAATAACTTGACGCGTCATTTGTTATCGATGAAACGTTCTGGTAAAAGTGTCCATAAGTTCTTAAGAACGTTTTTATCGTCATTCAAACATTTTTAGCTTTCCTTTAAATTTGTCCATGACCATATTGGATGTATATACATCATAGGCCTAAAATAAAGATTAACACGTGTTCCTTTCGGAATATATATAAAACACATTGAATTCTTTTGGCGCCAGACGCAAATTGAAATTCATTATTTGGTAATAGAAGCACGTCCTTACGGTAGAGTGTGCTGAATGTTTACTATGTTTTTATTTGTTTATATATTTGAAAACTATAATAATTATAAATTACTAAAGAACTGTGAGGCACTCTCACTCAAGACACCCAGACTACACCAAATTTAGAAAAGGTAATTTCCCAAAGTGTTCTTACCGTGAATCGGGCCCGTGACCTCTACATCTAAAGCGCAGAGGTCGTCAAAAATTTTATATAGGATCCAATTGAAAGTATTTGTATTACATAGGTTAAATAACACTTGTAATTGTCTTATCGTCATATTCCTCTGAGAAAAAATAGTAAGAAACTCAAGCAGTTGCTCTTTGTAAATAAACATTCGTAAACATTTATTATTTACATTTTTTATTCAAAAGTATCATGGACAATTGTCATCCATGTAGGCAGAATACAGAACGACATTTTGTATAAAGTTTTTGTTGCGCAGTCTATAGATTATACCTACACTAGCCCCGCGTGTAAAGCCAAAAGCTCATTGGTGGACTAGCCGCGGGCGCAGGCACTCTCTCGCAGTCGCGTCGTACCCGCGCACTGTTTAATTTTCAATTTAGATCGCAATTTGCGATTCGCGCGCCACACGCCCAAACTCGCATCACTCCGCGGGATAGATTTATGCGCCCGCGCTTATGACTATGTACAGCGTGTTACGAAGATACACAGGGTGTTTGGAGCATTATGTTAATTAGATAAAATTATCTTAGTTTGGTGTACGAAAATAAGTGTACCACGTATATTATACATATTTTTCTAGCACAACAAACTCTCTTTTCCTGTAGTTTAAATTAAAGATTTCAAAACAAGGAGGAGGGTCTCAATTCGGCTGTGTTTTTTTGAAAGAGGGTTCCTCGGCAGTGGCCATTCAAATTTTAAAAAAATATTCCACCTCTAGGGGTGGTAAATTAGGCGATGAAAATGGTTCCATCGCCTCTTTTAAATTCCACGAACTTTTGAGGTTGGTTTTTTCAGTACTCTATACTGAGTTTATCTGTTATATGTTTTATAAGACAAAAATCTCTTATTGCATATCGCAGTACTAGGTTCTGAGCTTGTGGGGGCAGGCAATAGACCTCCAGTGATAAGTTAACAAGATCCTGAAAACTTTTTTCTCTTAATCGCGTTACCGAATAAAAAGCCAAGCCAACAAAGCAAGTCTAATTTCAGACCGTATTAAAAGCTTAGTAGCGAGCCCAAAGAAACGCGTGATATAGGAAAAAATCAATACACCATCTATTCTCATCACATATACATCCAAACATTGTAATAGTGCGATGCAGAATCCTACTAACACCATCTAGTGACGTTCGTGTAAAACTAAAAATGAGCAATCAATAAATTTTAAATACTTTTACTGTAAACGTTTACTCATATAATACTTACGCGATCTCTTTCTCTACTAATTGTAATTTCTATTTTTATAATTAAATTTTTTGTGGCTTTAAAAAAATGACCAACCTGTACCTATAACTTCAGTCCCCGAGGAATATATTAAAAGAAATTAACTCCCGTAAGTTATGGACTCTCAGTCGCGCGATAAGAATTGGTGGTTAATGAAAATTGAGGATTTTTAACAAATTCGTCAAGTGCGAGACGAGATAAGCGTAATTGATCTGTCTTGAACAACAAATTGACTGGTTTCAAGCTTGTTTTAAACGGAAGTTTATGGATTTCAGATTGAACGATGTTTTATCGTTAGGCATTTGAATAACAGGGCTAAACAACGGCATGTTTTTTTTTTGTGATACCAAGTAAGCGGACGAACAAGTCGTGCACTGATAATAAGCGACACGCCTATCCATAACAATTGCAGTGTCACTCAAAGGTGGGAAATATCTGAAGGGTAGTGCCACTGCGCCCGTCTCCCTGAGACATAAGTTGACAAGTCCCATATGCCTGTAATTTCACCAGCGCCCTTACCCTTCAAAACAGAAGTAGATATCGACTCATTCGTAGAACAAAGGTCTATGTGCAAGACTACTAGTTCTCAGGACATAGTACATTTCGTTCGTTCTTCTTCGCTGGGGATGTCAGATCGACGTTTGTTCGATTTTATATTTCCGAAACGAAATAAGATATATAACTTCTCAAAACACCTTTACATAGTTTCATTAACGAAATTGTTCTCGTGACGTACCTATTCTCTTTTCGCTATATAATCACATCGGACTCTGTTCTTCGGATGAGGCGATATGGTGGCATTACTTTCCTGAACATCTTTCGCAAAGAGATGTACTGATCTACTTTAACTCGTAATATTTGTTTTGAACTGTATGCCACTTCTGGTAAGCTCTAAAATTAAAATATAAATCTCCAGGGAATGGTAACTGTACTTAGTTACTATTGTATCTTTTTTATTAAAACTCCTGTCCTCCAGCTTGTCTTGTCATATAATAAAATTTGTTATCATGTGTTTCTATTATTAATACGAAGGTCAAACACTTAGAAAAAATTGTTTTGATCTGGCTGGATTTGAACCAACGCCTTCCAACCGACTCTATGTCAACTAAGCCAAGGAACGAACCAGCGGACTTAATAAATTCTCTATTTTATTATCACGGTCAGAACTTCGTATTTTCCTCTACAAATTTCCAGTATTTTTTTATAATGTTATATATAAGAGACTTAACAAAAGCAGCTCTTTCTATTAACACAATATTACACACAAAGATTTCTAAAAAATTGTCTAATAACATCATTATCGTATACACTCAAAACCAAAACCCTTTCAATCAAACAAAATTACAATTGCATTTTGAACAAATTAAACTTTACACATAAGGCTACACATAACCCGGTAAACTTTAATAACAATGCGATTGTATAGAAACATCACTTATTGCATGTTTCACTCACTCGGTCGATTTATAATAAACACAAATCGCATAGTCACGGTTCAGCTTTCGCTTAAAATGAATTCATAGATTTATAGCACTTGTAAAGGAAAGCGATATTTTTATTATATGCTTCTGTTAATAAACTTGTATGTATTCTGTAAAAATTAAAGTCTGTTTTTGCATGGCATCTTTTTAATGTTCCAACGTTGATTTTGAATATTGATATCGCTTTCTTTGCACTAGCGAGAATAACTACGTATTATAAGCAAGTTTATATAGATAAACCGTTTCAAATTTCTGCACAGATTTTGTGAAACTGCAGTATTCATTATGGCCTTGGTTATTATAACGGAGCATAAAAACCATACACACACACGAAACAGATATTATTGAAGTTATTTTCTCAAAATGGAGAATGCAAAAGTCGTGAGAAATTAATCGTGGGAAATATGAATAGCGAACATCATATGAAGAATTTAATTATAATTTCGTATTTGAACATTTGGAACGACAGTATCATCTTGTAGTCAAGGTAGATCACGCGATAGCCATTAGAACTACCTCATGCAATAAAGTTATTACACACAATCATGTATACTACCTACAGTTAATGATTGCATCCTTCACATTTATCAATTGTTATAAGTATAAAGGATTTTGAATAGCGTATTATACATTGACAGTATCATTAACGGGTAAATGTTTCAGACAAGGTCGTGACTTTAAGTGTGTACAAACGAATTTTCTGACGTCGATACGAATCTCTTTTTATCTATATAAGTAACATTCAGAATTGACTCACCTTTAAAATGCAGCTGCCGACGGCCTCATTTTCCGGCACGGTGACGTTGTAGAAGGACTGGTCGAAGATCGGCTCATTGTCGTTCACATCCAACACTGTTACTGTGAGAACGACTGTCGAAGAAAGCGGTGGGTTCCCGCGGTCGCTCGCTACCACTGTCAACTCAGGCATTGGATTTGTCTCACAATCTACACGCGCTCGCGTCGTTACTAATCCAGAACGTTCGTCAATCGCGAACCAATCAGATTGAGGAGTCGGAAGCAAAGAATACCTAATCTCTGCGTTCTCCCCTGCATCCGCATCAATAGCGGACACTTGAACTACAGGTGTGCCAGGCGAAGCCGCCTCAGGCACGCTCGCTTTGTATTCTTTCTCCGCAAATACTGGGGCGTTATCGTTAACATCTGTTACCAGCAGACTGATGATCCTCGACGCGTGCAATGGAGGAGAACCTTTATCAGTCGCGACTACGTTCAATGTATAACTCGACTGAGATTCCCTGTCTAACGGTAAAGCGACTACAACTAAGTAAATGATGTTATCATGTGTTCTCAAATCGAAGTGTCCATCACCGCCGCTTAGTGTAACGTTTACATTAGAATACTCAGTCTTTGAATCCGGATCGTGGACTGAAATTCGGGCTACGAATTCGTCCAATTGCGCCGACTCGGATATCTTCGGCGTCGCATCGTCGCTTAGAAATATAACGTCTATAGTAGGCTGATTATCGTTCACGTCTGTAACGCGAATTGAAACGAAAGCTGTTGTTTCCAAAGGCTGAGCTCCTTTGTCCCTTGCCACGACGACCAATTCGTGTAACTCTTTAGTTTCAAAATCCAGAGCTTTATTAACTGTGATCTCACCGGTTTCAGAGTCTATTCTGAACATGTTCTCTTTATCGCTCTGCCTTCTGTTTATTGAGTATTCAATCAACCCATTCTCTCCCGCATCGGAATCTGTCGCTGATACTTTGAGTACTGGTGTTCCAACTGTTGCATTTTCTGGTATAATTGCCGAGTAAATACTTTCAGCAAAAACTGGAGGATTATCATTTACATCTAGTATAGTAATATTTACAGTCATTGTCCCTCTCAGAGGCGGTGTACCTCCATCTAAGGCTTCTATAACTAATTCATAATGGTCAGTAGTCTCTCTGTCAAGAAAACCATTGATCTGGAGATCCAAATACAAAACACCATCGCGTTCCCTATGCGACGACAATCTGAATGCGTTGTCAGTGTTTCCCGACACAATGTTATACCTCTGTGTATTGAACACTCCTAAATCTTGATCTTTTGCAGGATTCAACTTCCTCTTTACATCTCTTGGAGTATTCTCAGAGAATTCTACATTCATAACAGGTGTGGGAAAAGTTGGTGCGTTATCATTTTCATCTGATACTCTTACAACGACTCTAATATTATCTCCTGATGCGGGAATAGCAACTAAGGCATAGTGATCTCTATTTTCTCTGTCTAAAGGATGTCTTGTTCGTATTTCCCCCGTGTGAGGGTCAATTCTAAGGTCGTCGTTGACGGCGCTGCCAGGGACAGGGACTATAGTATATGGTGGGGCGGCGTCAGGGAGCTCGTCGCCAAGATGGCCGACGAGCGTAGCGGCGGGCGCATTCTCGCGGACGGAGAACTCGCGCACATGCTCTCCCGCCGCGGCTGCCAGCAGCAAAACCACCAGCAGCATGGTGTTATTATTTGCAGTCACCGCTCACACATTGTCGCTCACACCTGTAACAAGAAAAGCAAACTCTATTACTTAGCAGAACATAAATAAATAAATAATAAACGCGCTATACAGTCATACTAGTTACCCGATTACAAATTAGGATACCCGATTATAAATAATAAAGTAATTGCCGGTACTGTGGCTACCACAACACAACGCAATTAACTCCAGGTACACTACCCATAAATTTGTCAAAGCCGAAACCTAATAAGTGTGAATGTAACTGTTATCTTGATTAACGTTAGTAGTAGTAGTTAGTAGGTGTAGAACATTTTAATGAAAAAGAGATAAATAAAGACAATAATGAAAACATCGAAACTACGTAACGTGCCGGAATAATGTAAATCAATGCCATTACACTTATCCAACACATTTTGATGTGATAAATGATATAATGATTTGTCATTATATCATTTATCACAATTTGACAATAATTTGTCTGTGTCCAATTTGTCTGTTAAGTTTTCACGCCTAGACCGCTCAACCAAATTTGAAGAACTTTGGTATAGACATAGATGGGATTTATGAGAAGGACATAGACCACTTTTTGTCACAAAAATAAATCTTAAAGAGTGTGAAATAGGATATGAAAGTTTGTATGGAGAACCAATCATTTCTCAAGCAAGTAATACAGTAGGCTCGTTTATAAGTTTTACACTACATAGATAGACAACTTTTAGCAGCAATAGAGCTCATTGTGAAAGAGATCGACCAAGGAAGTACTGCTACCTTACCTATTTCTACCGCTACCGTTTTAAAATGTGCTGGTGAAATTATAGGCACATGGGACTTGACAGATCTTTGCAATTATAAGCTGTTCGTCCCGTCACTTGATAGCATAAAAAAAAACCGTGCAGTTCATCTATAAAATCGTTATAGTTATTAAAAATTCCATTATTGTGCACCCAAAATAATAATTTCCGCATAAAACTCCAACAATTATCGCTTAAATGTCACACATCCAATTAATTTTTATCGAAACTAAATATATTCCCAAAGCCCATAACTCTTAAAATTCATCTCAATACGGGGTGTACCATTTTTTATAGCAATGTGTAAAGATGGCGGGCTCATCTCTATCTAGTCAATCAATCTGGTTGTTTATCTGAGATATACGAGCTTGTAACGGAGTGTGGTAGAAAAGTGAGTTTTGAGTGGATTGTTTTTTAATTTATTGAATGTTACAATGTTGTAATAAAGACCGAACACTTACAAAAATTCATTCTCTCCGGCTACATATAAAACAGAACCAGATGCTCTGAAGAAGAAGCAAGAATATTGAGCCACCGCCTCTGGCTTTTTCGTTAGATACTGTTTGAAATTGATGTTATTATTATGATCAAGATGACCATTTAAATAGTGGTAAATTGTTAAAGAACTACACGTTTGTTAAGCAATTTATATAAATAAGAATTATTGTTTATGATTGTTGTTTGTGACGGATTATTTGTGTATTTAGACATTCGTGCCTAAAATATAACTTCTTGAAACCACAGCGTTACCTTACAATGGGAAAATCTCACTTAATTAATAAATAAAGGTTTAATCATACAAAGGTCAATGGATTTAATAGAATATTTCACTGCCTCGATGAGCGGCCTTCTAATTTTAAATTATATTTATTTATTGAACTTGTTACCAAAAAAGTCACATATGACAAGTCAAAATACTATAAAAATTAAAATAACTGAAAATACCTTATTACAACAATTTCATTTAAATAAAATTAATTCAAATAAATTAAAGTATTAAAAAAAAACATAAAAATTGTCATTTAAAACGCTAAAATAATATAAAAGTATTTGTTTTACGTTTTTAACGACTTTTTTCCGGAGCGCCATCTGTGAGAAATTTGTTTTTTCACTCAGAGAGGTACCTTGGAATAATTTAATTGCGATATCACATCATATGAAAACAAACAGCATCTAAGACAAACTATACTTGAACAAGCTTTATTTAATACACAATCGCGAGGTAGAGTTAAGCCTTGTGGGAGAGACTGTACCTTTTATTTCTAAGTTAGTGAATATTTAGAAGCAATAGCTGTTGCTAACGACAAAGAGTAATGAAGCTGGTTTCGTTCTTCCAGGGAAGTACTGCCACCTTACCTGTTTCTGCCGCCAAGAAGTAATGTGATCATTACTACATTCCGGTTTAGAAGGGTAAGGCTTGTTGGTGAAATTACAGGCATAGGTGACATAGGTTTATTTGCAATTTAAAGCTCTTATGGACAGACGTGTCGCTTACCATTAGGCGCACGGCTTATTCGTTCCGTCACCTGGTATCATAAAAAAAAGAAAACATTGTGATGTGACTGCAAGTCGAAGAAGGTTCACAACTCTTGAAAAACGTCAAGTCACCAACCCGCATTCAGCAGTCCTAAACGTTCTCTTCTTATCTTCCTCGTCACGTCATCAGAACTCATGTTTTGAAAAGTTTCTCCAACAAACAGATACCTAAAGTACCCATTAAAATAAATTATTTTTTAATACAGTTGCTCAAAACATGGTATTTTTCGCACTACAAATCGTGCGGAAAGTTGGATTTCTCGCACTAGTGCTTTTTACTTTTCCAGTTTTTTTTTAATTTACTGTTGTTTTAAGTCTTAAACATAGAACTAAAGAGATTGTATATTTATTTCATATTTATGTGCTTTGTGACGTAAGTCATTCGTCATTAAAACTTATATTTATTTACAAATACTATATAATGAACGTATCGAGTGGAGGTCCACAGTCTCTGCCTACCCCTGAATGGGTGACAGGCGAGATTTTTATGTATATATTTGTTCTATGTATTACAGATAAATTGTATCTCACTACCGTGCACCTAAAGAAGTTTAAACGAAAGTACCAGGACTTCATAATAAGAAAAGTGGTTACAGACCGATGTTACAGAAAATAAACAAAAACAGCACGTTAGAACTAGATTTCCATAGACTTTTAACTAATGGTTGCAGTGGTTGTATTTCATTATTTTAATTTACTAGCAGAAAATGAGTTTTGTTTAAATACTGTTTTATTTTACTTTCAATGTAGTTTTTTCGCAAATGTATTAAAAAACGTCGTTTGATACACGTGCGGATTTGTCATTTTCACTTGTCTCGCGTCTTGACCCTCGCCTTTGGCTCGGGCCAAGAAGCCTCGAGACTCGTGAATAATGACTAACTTTCCGCACTTATATCAAAAATAACTATAATAAGTCAACCCACGCAATAATTACATCGATAAAAATATGGCGCATGTGGAATGATGAATGAGCAAAATTTTAACGCACGAGCAATGTAGATGCGTAGCCTAAGCCAACCCTTGTAGAAGGCAAGCGACGTATATATAAATAGTACCACTATTTACATGGTCTCCTATTATAGAATTCCCTGTACCAAAACACCGATACCTTTTAACATCTAGACCAGAAATTATCATGCCTTTTTCTCATTCAGTAGTCAGAGACTGGATCGCCACCTATTACCTACCAGACATACATCTTTGCGCCTAGTTTATTATTGTTAGTATAGCGACAAGACAGATATCATCTATTGCACATTGTAATGATGGACAAAGTAGATGGGAAGCGGAGAAGGTTGGAAGAAGGCTTCGTAACATCAGGGTGTGGACCGGCATCAAGACCGTGGAACAACTGTTCAGGGTAGCTCTGGACAAAGAAAGATATAGAAAACGGACTGCCGGCCTTCAATAATAGAGAGGCACTCGAAGAGAAGAAGCAGTAGAGGCTCCTTGGGAAATATTGTCTTACGTATTTTTTAATGTGAAATTATAGGCACTTAGGACTTGTCAACTTATGTCTCAGGGTGATGGGCGCAGTGGCTGTATCTCTCAGATATTTGTGATTTAAAAATCTGAGTACAACTTGTGCATCCAGTCATTTAGTATAATAAAAAAAATCTTCTATGGAGGTCCCAAACTCTATAAATTACCAATAATAATAATTTATGTTAAAATTTTAATTACAAATGGACAACTACATTAAAAACGTAACACCTACAATGCCAAACACTTAACTTTCACTGCGACGAGATTCCTATCTAAACCATTAGTTAATTGATCAGATCTCTGGTTGAACCCAAAAATAACCGGTCAATGTGCTTTCCGAATTATAAGCACTTGTTTATGTAATGTTCTTTGTAGTAATACGTTAGTATTTTCGAATAATTGATGTTGACAGTTGAATCTATAGGTTTAAATCTCTTTTTTTTATTCCGGCAACACCACAATACATTCTACTTTAGCACCGATACCCTGTGTTCGCTTTACGCTTTGTTTATGGTGAAGCTTCCGCAGCTTGCTTTCGGGTGGTAATCGACTCAACCCTTATTGACCATGACTTGCGTGTTTAATTATTATAACTGTTAGTGTAAACTATACAAAATGAGTAAATTAATTTGATAATTACACTATTAAATTAAGAGTAAATTAATTTATATTATATTCTGTCTGTATAAGACTCTCATCTCGGCCATAGCCTAAAAGATCAATTTTGAATGTTTAAATGCGAGATATAATAATAGTTTTAGTTTAGTTTTACTGCCTCAGTGGGAGAACGGTTACCATGCCGACTGTCACGCAGAGGTCCCAGGTTCCCGGGACAGGAAGTGAGTTTGGGTGTAATTTGTGATTGTCTATGTGTGTGTCCATAGCACTGGCGGCACAGGGTTCCCCTATTGAGCATTACCGCGTTCCTGTTTAGAAGGGTAAGGTCAAAGTGGAAGCTGGTGAAAGTATAGGCACATAGGACTTGTCAACTGATGTCTCCGGGTAACGGGCGCAGTGCCCGTAAGATCTTTTTGTGTATTTAAAGCTCTGAGTGGCACTGCAACTGTTATGGATAGGCGTGTCGCTTACCACCAGGCGCACTAAGTAGCACTGTTGACCAGGGTCAGGGACTCAGGTTCAAGAACCGGCGGATAATTGTTATTATTACTACTATTCAAATATTTCACAAATCGTATCAAGATTAAATCGGAATGGTTTTTGCTAAATTA